TTTCAATGATTGAAAAATGATTCGTATTCATGTTCTAGTGTAATAAAGTAAATTTCATTGGTCAGTAAGACTAAAAGTGACCAGTCTCTTTATGATGGTCATAAGACAGAAACAGATATAAATATAAGTTTTAAACGTAACTATCACTACGAATCGTTGTTGTTGGATAATCAATAACAATTTACTGTATCATTAGTTTGTATGCACATGTATACATTTGACCATTGGTCAACAAATGGTGACTTTAAAGTCAATTAGATTCGGTAAATTAAAGCGATAAGTAAGAAAAAAGATACACCGATAAAAATGAATAACTTATACGAATGAATTAAATTGCAACAATTTAGCAATCAAATAAAAGGATCGACAACAAAATCGAAGGCATCAAATTGTTATGTAAAAATAAGGCTCCAAAAGTGAAAAGGAATTGGAAAGCAATCAAAACGATCATAAATTGATTATATTGCCGAAAGGAGTGGTCAACAGTTTAACAGGTAATGGTGGAAAATTAAATGCATAATTAAGGTAATAATTTAATTTGATTGGTGTTGAAAACAGAAGCGCCAAAATCAAGCCAATAGGTTGACAATTGAAATGGATTGATATTGTCAAAGAGACACAAACTTTACTAATATAATGACATTGTTAATGATTGACTGAACAATTAAAATGGAAACTTTAACAAACATTAACTATTGTCATTGTTAATCACAATTAACTATTATAATCAACTATTAGAAGTGATTATTTGAATACCTTTCAAAGTCGATGTGTGAAATAACTTTATTAACTTTCCTTCAAATCGCTTGCGAATACAAAATCTATTCATTGGAGATTTTCATTTGTTGGCCTTTCTTGTTGTTGCTTGAGGAGAAAAAAAGTAACTTTTCCTCGACCCCAAACTCGATATAAGAACTATGTTCTAATACAACATGAGTACATACATATCATAAACTACTGTCATTGTTATTGTCAAGTGGTTCCCTTTTTATTCACAGAAAACTTTTATACAAAGTATCGAACTCACTTTCTTGAACAGTTGATCTTAGTCGTCTTTTTTGTTGTCATTGAAAATGTTGAACAACAACACAAAAAGACCAACAGCAAAGTCGACAAAATGTAATCGAGTGACAAAGTTTTACTAACCCAATAGAAAGAAGAGTAAATGATTAAGTTGGAGAAAAAAAGTTGTTCACATTATGATAATATCCAAATAACCGGGAAAATAGAAAAGACCAACGGACAATATTAATATCTACGAGTCGACTAGTTGATTTTTCACAATTATAATCACACAATGGAAAAGGACAGAGAGAGAGAAAGAGAAAGAGAGAAAGTCAAGTCTTTGTAAAGTTTTTCTTTCCTTCATAAACCATTGGAGCTTAAGATGGATAAACTTTTTATCAACTTAATCAAACTTAATCTAACCTCATCTAACCTAAGTTACTATTATTATTATTGTTATTGTCGTCACCATCTCGATGTATTTGTATGTGGGTATGCATATTCATATTGATCATTACGATAGCTAATGGACAAGGAAAATGTTAATACTTTAATGATCTCGTTTTCAGGTTAATTTATTTTTAAGCTTCTTCTTTAAATCATTCAACCAGATAAGGTCCATTGTTAACTAGTTAAATATATACACACACACTCACACTCACACTGATACTCACTCATTGATGGACATGAAGCTAACGATTTGGTTCACAGATTTTCAATTAACTTCCAACGACCATTGATTTCAATGGGAGGAGGAGGAACAGGGTATTCATACAATGATAGCACATCATCCTTATCATCATAATCATCATATTAATATAATCATAAGCCATTATCAGGCCAAACCTTTTTACAACTATTATATTGCCTGTGATTAACACTCAATCATATTTCATTAAGTTATTTTTTTTCAACAATAAATCAAATTTAATCATCTGTATGTTGAGAAACTGTGATGACAATGATGATGATTGCAAGTTAATTGACAATTATTATTATAATTATGATTTGATTATAGTTTTGAGCTTCGATTTTGTAAAATGCTGCTCTTTAAGTTCTGAATATAGTGGAAGAAGCAATCTCATGAAATCTTATTTTGGAATATGGGATTTTTTTATTCTCTTTCTTTCCATGTTTGTATATAATAATAATAAATGAATCATGATGATAATGATGACCAATTGTAATGGAAGATGAAATTTCTGATAGCTTTAATGTATGAACTTAATTCTGAGTTGATTGGTCATTTTCCGGTTGAAAAAGAGAACCGGAAATATTTAGAAAGAAAAAGATTTGGTACTTTTTTGTCTTGAATTATATTCTCTTTCAACTGAGCATTTGATTGTCATCATCTCATTATCATCATCATTACGTCAAGAGTATTTTATCAAAAATAATAACAAAACTCAATGAAATTAACTCAACTAATTGAATTCAAACAACTGATTCATATTTATGATATTAACTCCTGAGCACTTGACTTTCTTGCTGAAGGACAATAACTTTTTTCATATGGATAAACTTGGAGTGAAAATTATCACGATAAAAATAAAAAGTTCATTTTGAAGCGGAAAAAATTTAATAATAATCGATAATTTATTGTTTGTATGACGATGATGATGATGTTTGATTATTTTCAGTGTGTTGATATAATAATTGTAATAATAATAATAATAGTAAACATAATTTGGTTAACAATTAGCGCTTGTGAAACCAGCAGCGGCTGCAACGGCCGCCGCTGCCACAGAGAAACCAATGTGAGCTGGCGGTGGATGATGAGGATAAAAGGGAAAACCAAAAGCCGCTGCAGCGGCTGCAGGTAATAGCGGACGAGCTGATAGTCTTATCTTTTCAATTTCCGCTTCCTTGAGACGCTTTTCCTTAGCTCGACGATTTTGGAACCAAATTTTGACCTGAGTTTCCGTTAAGTTAAGCGAAGATGAAAAGTCGGCTCGTTCAGCTATCGAAAGATATTGTTTATTTTGAAATTTTCGTTCTAATGCTAAAAGTTGATTATTGGTAAACGGAGTTCGAGGCTTCCGGTTACTCTTGTGTTTCCTTAATTGACATTTAATCGCTGGTAATCTTGGTAATCCATTTCCACCCTCACTATTTACACTGCGATTGAACCAAGGGTATCCTTCATTTGTAAAGACACCGACAAATGCTGAAGGTGAATTGTGTGGGTGAAGGTGGTTGAAGGGATGAAAAGGATGAGTTGAAGGAGGTGATGAGTGAGATGATGTTGGTGGTGATGATGAAATAACGGTTTCACTTGGTAATTCAGTTACATCACTTGAATCACAATCATCATCATCATCAACATTTATATTTGTATTTATATTAACTTTAGTTTTACTTTTACCGTTATCTTTTTCACTGTTGACACGATTATTGTTATTATGATAATTAGTCCCTTGGTTAATTAATTTATCAATTCCAAATGATAATTTACTTGATTTACTTGAAGTTGTTATTGTAATTGTTTTTGATGGTGCTAATGAGATTGATGTTGATGAGGATGAGGATGAAGAGGAAGAAGATGAAGACGAGGAAGATGTTGAAGTTTTCATTGATAACTATTAGTGATTAATTAGTGAGCTAATTACTTTTTTTATATGATATGATATGTTTTCAGTAATTTTTTTCGTTTGTTTGTTTATAAAATAATTACACAACTAATAACAATTAACTGTTGACATGGATCATGATTCAAACAATCAGACTTATAGTTAACTTGTAAATAACATTCACTTTGGTTAAACTCAAACTGTTTATCATTTAACTTTCACGCCATCTACAGAGTGGGAACTTTGTTTCAACCTATACAACAACAACACCCACTCTCACTGGAAGGAGGAGTCACTAGGGAGTGGGAATATTATGAGGATGAGGGTGGGGTGGGATTAGAATTCATCTCTTAGTGATAATGTAAGGCTCGTTGTGATGAAATTGATCGTTAATGTAGATATTAAATTGGGTTACAAGCAATTAATTACACATATAAAATATAATGATTATGATTTGAAACTAATTAATGGAAATTTGTATTAATGTTAATTTCATCTGAACATGAATTTTAATAACTGTTAATTTTTATGGTGATTTTTCATTGTGGCTTAGAGATAATAATATGAATCAGAGACTTTGGATTGAATAATTGAATGAACTGATTGAAGGTTTGAAGATTATTATTCTTGAGAATATTTTTTAATTCCTCTTTTGTGTTGATTGTTACAATTTAGTGTATCGATTTCAATGTTTCCACTGAAAAGATAAAGTCATTGGTTTGTGTTTGTCTTTTTTTCCCTGTTACTTGTTGATTGGCACCTTCGCTTTAAACACAAGATTAAGATTAAGATCTGATTCAGATTAAAGTTAATTATATGTTTACATTTAAACGATTCTTTATTGTTATAGTCAAAACAATCAAATCAAATCGAAACAAACTCTCTCTCTCTTTCTCTTTCTTTCTTTCTTTCTTTCTTTTTTTCTTTCTCTTTCTTTCTTACTCTCTATCCACAGGTAACTACAGAAAAAAGTAAACAAAAGGTTAGCAACAAACTCGAACCAGATTAAGGGAAAAACACCCAACAGAGTAAAAGATAATCTTGTAAAATTATTGTCGCATTTAACTCTTACCTTTACCTTTTTACCTTTTCTACTTTTCTTTCAAGCGAAATATGAAACCACATAGAAAATGATTTTCCATTGAGTTTAATCACTTGACCACAAGAACAATTAAGATAATGATAAATATCTTGTTCTCAACTGACAAGTAATTAACTTTCATTCATTTCATCATAAATAATAATAATAATCGTAGTAATTACAATTTAAATTGTCATCACGATTTCACATTTATTATATTTATCGTATTACCGAGTTCAATGTTGTTTGAAATGACATTTGATTAATGTATCATGAATGTGATATTACAATCAGATTTGATTAGATTCTGATTATAAAGATATGGTTTTGATTGATTGAAAGTTTGAAGGGTAAAAGTTTAACCTTTAATCAAATTAACAGGCAAAAAATGAAATCAGTTGATTAAATTGGGTGAATCAAATTGGGATGTTAATTACAATTAAAACATAATGTTTAAGATGAAAATGATTTGATGACAATGTTAATTATTTACAAATTAGTGAGTTGAGTGAGTGTTGATTGGGAAAAAGTGAGAATGAAACATGAGCTGGAGGAGGTGGAGGTCGAGGATGATAAAATTGCAGACCAAAAGCACCAGGTAAGCACCGAGTTGATATTCTTAATTTTTCCACTTCCGCTTCCTTGAGTCGTTTATCTTTAGCCCGACGATTTTGGAACCAAATTTTGACCTGAGTTTCCGTTAAGTTAAGTGAAGATGAAAAGTCGGCTCGTTCAGCTATCGAAAGATATTGTTTGGTGTGAAACTTTCGTTCCAATGCTAAAAGTTGATTATTGGTAAACGGAGTTCGAGGCTTCCGGTTACTCTTGTGTTTCCTTAATTGACATTTAATCGCTGGTAATCTTGGTAATCCATTTCCACTGACACCTTCACTATTGCCTCCACCATTGGAACCATTAACACCATTGGCACTCATAACATTCAAAAAACCGCCACCATTAAGCCAAGGGTAACCTCTTGGTGAGAAAAGTCCAATATTAGCATAAGGAGATGATGATGAAGAATCAATTTGATGGTGATGGTGAAGATGAGGATGAAAATGCTGATGAAAGGGATGAAGACTTAGATGATGAGGATGAGTTGGTGGTTGAGGTGGAGGTGATGGTGATGAGGTTGGAGATGAAGATGAGAGGACAGTCTCACAAGGTGAGATAAAACTATCCTTTTCATCATCAATATCATCTAAATCACTATCAACATGATCATCATCATTATCATTAACAATTACATCATTTTTAATCAAACTATCAATAGAAAATGATAATTTATTTGATTTAACTGATTGTGATGAATTGGTTGTAGGTAATAATTGGGAGGTATTAGTAACTGTCGTTGAAGGTGTTGTTTTAATTATCGGTGTTTTTATCGATACCAATGATTTGGTTATCGATGTTGAACTTGAAGTTTTCATTTTTCGTTCTCAGTTCTGATCGATTCAATGTTTTCCCAAGTGTAACAATTTACTTATTTTTCAATTGAATCACAATTTAATGTCAATATCACTTTAGGTAATTGTTGCAACCATTCAGACTTATAGTTAACTAGAAAATAACATTTACTTGGACTCGACTCCAAGTGTAACTATAAGTTTCAACTCGAACGCCATCTAACTAGAAATGGTTAGATTGTTGTACTTTTATTATGATAATCAGTTGATTAACATTTAAAGAGGTGGAGTGTAACTGCCACTGGTTAACCGGCGGTAAATCTGAGGAGGGATTTGAATCATCATCTCTCCTCAGGGTGTGTCTTATTTTCAAGTCTCTCTCTCTCTCTATGTGTGTGTCTATGTGTATCTCTTGTGTATGTTGATCATTATGAGTATTTGAGTTGTAATATTTGAAATGATCTTTCATTCAAACAATTAAATTGCTTCCTTTTAGATTGTTATCTCCTTTTCTCTTTCTTTTTCATACTAATTATCGTGGTTTTATTATTATTAAAAATGAATAATAATCAACATGTTGACCACAATGTTTGGTCATTACTCGTTTATCTTTAATGGTCAAGTCATATTTCACCTGTTGAAATATTTTTACCACTTTATCATTTACACTGGACAATCAACTTATACTTCCAACTGTGAACAACAATAAGTAAATAATTTACATTATTTTAATTACCACTGACCAATGAATGACCATTAAAACTAGAATACAGTTTAGTATATATCGATTTCAATGTTTCCACCGAAAAGATAAAGTCATTGGTTTGTGTTTGTCTTTTTTTCCCTGTTACTTGTTGATTGGCACCTTCGCTTTAAACACAAGATTAAGATTAAGATTAAGATCTGATTCAGATTAAAGTTAATTATATGTTTACATTTAAACGATTCTTTATTGTTATAGTCAAAACAATCAAATCAAATCGAAATAAACTCTCTCTCTTTCTTTCTTTCTTTCTTTCTTTCTTTCTTTCTTACTCTCTATCCACAGGTAACTACAGAAAAAAGTAAACAAAAGGTAAGCAACAAACTCGAACCAGATTAAGGGAAAAACACCCAACAGAGTAAAAGATAATCTCATTAATACAAAATCCAATTGTCGATAATAATCTTATTCGTTATTCGTTAGTCAGTGTTGTTAGTTTAATATCAAATTAACTAATTGTGCCGATCAAAGTGGCAATATTATTAACACGATCTTCGAATAGCTCTCGGAAATTGGAAAGGTATTAATTAAATCAAAGACAATTAACAATGATTATCTTAATTTACTTTTCTTTTTCTCTCTTGTTTTTACTATTGACCATTTACATACATGTATAAGTAAAGGGTTTAACTGACCCCAAGACTCTCAATGATTACTATTTATAATGAGGTAAAAACGGGTTGGTACAAATAACGTTTTTTTAGATGAAAAATACTTGACCATTAACTGATTGTTGGTACAAAGTAATCAGCGCTTTTTTTTACTATCAACATAATTACAATGCTTTCTATCCTTTACACCTGATTTAGCGTATTTGTTTCAATGAAAAGGTAACTAGGTTAGTAGTAAGTTATAATGAATGATTATTATAAATGATAATATGTGTTTACCTGTTGAAAATTAGTAACAACTTTTTACCTTAACCTTTTCCTGTGGACTATTATTAGTGTCCAGACAAGTTGTGATTTCGAGACGGTCACTATTTCATTCATAGATGAATATATGTATGTCCAGATTATTGTTTTTTCTTTGTTGACCTCTTGGTGAGAGTCCTTTTCATCACAAGAGATGAAGATAATCAATTGAATAATAGACAAAAGAAGATAATCGATTTTTGTCTTACTCTTCTTACTTTTTCATCTATTTTTCTTTTCTTTCTATTACTTTTTCTTTGCGGATAAAGACAGAAGCAGAGAGAGAGAGAATTACTCTAACCATCGATACCGATTGATGTTACTGTTTTGTAGTATTCAGAGTCGCGTTATGGCCTAAGGTAGGTTAGGCTAAAAAAAGGTATACTCACAATTGGAAATGAATAAAAATCAATTGTTGTCATATTTTGTTATTGTTTTGAATTGGTCATTGACTACTAACTGGACAGAAACAAACAGGTAACAACAAAATACCAATGAAATTGGTTCCGAACTCGATTCAATGTTATCATCTTCATCTTCATCGTTGCATTAGTTGTTAACTTGATGATGGACAAAGTCTGACCCAATTTATTCGGACAACAAAAAAAGGTCCTAATTAAAGGTGTGGTCAATTCTCAAAGGGTCATTAGTTTGTCCATCGATTTTTTCCCTCTTACTCTCGTTCTCTCTTTTTTTTTCATTCCTTAATTACACTTACGAAGGGACAACCATACTTTCTGTAGCTCAATAAATGACCTGAACGATGGCGACTTGTTAATAACCATTGTTAATATCACAATAACTTTTTTTTGTTGTTCGAAAGAAAAAAAGAAAGAGAAGATGAAGATAATGATGATGAGACGAAAGTCATAAATTTAAACATTGATAAAGTTAAACGAAGTCTATTTGACTTTTGGCCTGATTGAGGTTCGAGTGCGAACGAGCTACTGATTGTTTCCTATCTCATCTCAATCTCTACAATGTTTCTAGTGATAAAAAAGCTGAATGACTTTTTTTCTGACCTTTTACCTGTTGATCCCCTTGGTAAGATAAACGATAATCCATTTCAACAAAATTAGCAGTAAAATCAGCATTCACCTGTAATTGTACATATTATCATATTCATCTTGGTGATATAATAATAATAATATTAAATTTCGAACTGACAAAACTCTAATGATATCAATGTACTTTAACTGAAACTTTTTTCACTCAAACATCATTTGTTTAATTGCTTTGTGACTCTTTTTTTTACAACAATCATCAATTATCATCACTAATCACCTCTTCCTTATTATCAATATGCTGATTATCATGTTAATCACCATCATTGAAAGTCATCATCACAACGATAATAATAACCCTTCACTTACTATTAATAGTAACACAATCGTAATTGCAACTTTCACTTTTTTACCTGTTAACATTTCCCATACTTTGGACACTTTACCTTTTTGTCTTTACCTCTTTTGCTGACTCTAATTGACCTTAATTAGCCTTAATTGACCGTCAACAATTTAACTTGATTGTAATTCACATTAGACAAACTATAGTGGTATCATTATTGTCCCAATGCAACGCCAAGTTAAATATCAACTAGAACAAAAAAAAACTCCATTACTTTGTATTCAAACTTTTTTATCCTTCGAATTGTACATTTGCGACTTTTGATTAACTCGAAAGTAACAATTTACATAATTATTTATTTAGAAAACAAAATAGTTTACATGGAGACCCAGAGAACGACAAAGGTCACTTTGATGGCGAAACCCGTGATTATTGACTGCGATAATATCGAATTTCGAATTATGTTCTAAATTCGAAAGTGAACTTTTCTTCTTTTATCATTTGACCTTCTTTACTATTCATGTTGACATATCGTGTGATGTAAGGGAGTTAAAACTCCCAAGACTATCAGGTAACAATTTATTGATTGTTGATCGTATTATTTTTCTTAATTGGCTAAATTCATCTCAATATTAAACCATTCACCAAATGATGTAAACATTTAACTTGATTGTTACAAAAATCTATTCACATTAAGTTTAACCATAAAGTTAATCACTTTCAATGATCATACTGACAATTTAATCAATTGTACCACTTTGATTGTGATTATTGTAATATGATAACTGCAAGTTGTTACAATCATTGGTTAAATAATAACATCAATCAAATGAAAATTTTTGATTCGAAACTTTTTTTTTCTCAATCATTTGAATTTATCATTTAAATGATTCAGATGATTAATAAATTGAAATATCAATGATTCCGAGATTACCTGCTGATTGTCAGTTAAATTTTAATCATTACTTGGATAAAATTAAATTGTTTCAATCATCAATGGTTATCATTTTATTTCTTTACTATTAATAGAATCAGAACTGAAAATTAGATTTGATTGTTAACTGTCAACCTGATGCCAATCAAAATTAACCATTTGTATTGATTATCAATACATTTATATTTTGATTGACTATTCAATTTAACTAGATAATCAAATTTAAACTGACAATATGATTACAATCAATGGATGGCAATCAATTGATTACAAAGAATGACTATCCAAGCCATTGATTGTAAGCTACTGATCAAGATGAGGTCAATTTTCAAAGACAATGGTCAAGTGAATCGGTAGCTCATTCACACTCTACTTTTAAAACTGGGTCAAGGGTCAAATGGACTACGTTTGACTTTATCAATGTCATGGATTTATGGCTTGATTATCATTGTCCACCTTTAGGTTTATATGAGTGAAAATAACAATTCAGATTTTACGACTTGACGGTCATTCATGGCAATAAATGACCATTGATTGAGTAAAAAAAAGGGACAGGTCATCGAGTGAAATGTAATTGCACTGAAAAGTTAACACTAATAAAAGTTAATCACCAATTAATTGATTAATTAAGTAATTAAGAAACTTTGACGGCTAATGGAGACAATTGATTAAGGAAGATCATCTAATGAACCATCATGATGATTTGAAGGGGATGATTTGATGTTGTTGTTGATCAAAGGGATGCAGTAACATTAATTAATTAACACATAAATTTGTGATTTTTAATTGTATTTGTGTTATTACAATTTCGTCTTTGTAATTAACTTAATTACTATTGGAAAAAGGTAAAGGTGATAATCATGTTTACCACCCACTTTTTGTTTCTACCTGATAATTAACATCCAAACTTAAAGGTAAGTCTAACCCTTTACTTGTAATCAGGTAAAAAAGCCGAGACCAAAATCAATGATAACATTATAATGATTAGTGTTAATTGTTGTGAATTTAAATTGATACCTAAAAGTAGCCGATCTTAATGGTTATTGATTTGTTGTAATTAGTGAGGTTGTGATAAGTGGATGAGTTTGAATTGAATCAACATTAAAATTCATTGATGAAATTGAAAAATTGAAACTTGATCAATAATGAATGTGAAATCGTGATGACAATTTAAATTGTAATTACTACGATTATTATTATTATTTATGATGAAATGAATGAAAGTTAATTACTTGTCAGTTGAGAACAAGATATTTATCATTATCTTAATTGTTCTTGTGGTCAAGTGATTAAACTCAATGGAAAATCATTTTCTATGTGGTTTCATATTTCGCTTGAAAGAAAAGTAGAAAAGGTAAAAAGGTAAAGGTAAGAGTTAAATGCGACAATAATTTTACAAGATTATCTTTTACTCTGTTGGGTGTTTTTCCCTTAATCTGGTTCGAGTTTGTTGCTTACCTTTTGTTTACTTTTTTCTGTAGTTACCTGTGGATAGAGAGTAAGAAAGAAAGAAAGAAAGAGAGAGAGAGAGAGAGAGAGAGAGAGAGTTTGTTTCGATTTGATTTGATTGTTTTGACTATAACAATAAAGAATCGTTTAAATGTAAACATATAATTAACTTTAATCTGAATCAGATCTTAATCTTAATCTTGTGTTTAAAGCAAAGGTGCCAATCAACAAGTAACAGGGAAAAAAAGACAAACACAAACCAATGACTTTATCTTTTCGGTGGAAACATTGAAATCGATACACTAAATTGTAACAATCAACACAAAAGAGGAATTAAAAAATGTTCAAAAACACAATTCAATCTATTCAAATGATTTCGGTAAAATTAAATCTCTAATTATCAACAATCAATTGTCACAATTCAAATGATTAACAAATGACTGAAATTGAAATTTAAACTGAAATTGAAAATTTCTCAACAGAATCAAAACTAAAATCTAATGAATGAAATGAAAACTTTTCATTTGAACCTTTGGTTACGATTTATTTACGTCAACGCGTTAATCGATTAATTGTCTCGTTTATCTTGTTAATTGTCGGAGAATATTCAATTCTCTTAATTGTATTAGTTAAGGTTAACAGTTAATTCTCATGAGACTCATTTTCTTCAATCGTTTAGTTTATCTTAAGCTTCTGTTAAAGCGAAAGGGATTTTGTCTCTTCTTCTAGTGGTTAGAGTATCAAGAGAGATTAAGAAAGAAACAAAGACGATGGATTATCCCTACAAACGACTTTGATCATCATTCATCTTTTTCCTCTCTCTCTCTCTCTCTCTCTCTCTTCTTCATGATGAGTGATCATCATTTTCAATCATCATCGTTTTCATCATTTCCCATGAGCACAATCATCATCGATTGTCATTCTCAATTTAATTAGATTTTAAATGAGCCACTAAACGTTTATGGTTAATGAATGAAAAAACAAACATTTTGTTCAAATAAATGATTAACAATAATTGTCAAGACAATTAAAGAAACTAAGTTACTCATCATTGATTAATCATCTTCTCATCTGATAAGTTGAATAGTTTAACCACTAAACTGAAAATAAGTTAGTAAATGAAATGATTGTGATTAACTAGTGACCATTAAAAAGTTAAATTCAATTTCCTCTTGACTAAATTGTGATTGGGAAATTGAAACCATAACAATGACTCTTGACTTTTTGATTGTTATCATTGATTGTTGGCCAATTGTTAACTAGAATTGGATTATTATTATTTATTATCTCGAAGACGAGGAAAAATAGTAAAATATTATCAATGGTGAAAGTGAGAAAGGTGAGAATATGCTTGTGACAATCAACAATACGAATTACCGATTCAATTAAATTGGTTAAAAAGGGATTGAGGTAAAGTAGATACTTGATCATTTAATGATCAATTCAATGACAATAACAATAAATAGTTAACGTAATAATATTGATTAATAATGATGATAATTTCGGGTTCCTTAGCACCTTAGTGTGTATCCATTGAATTATCATTAAGTGCCAATGATTTATCATAATAATAACAATAAACTCACTTTAAACTAGTTAGTTATGGTAAACACATAGGAAGATGATAATGTGATGAGGAAGAAGATGATGTAGATGATGAAGAGAAAATTTTCTCCTCTTTCTTTTTTTCTCTTCGAGTACAATATGATGATAAGTCGAATGGCCGATTACCCTCGAAGTGCCAATGAAAAAAGAGAGATCTCTTTTTCATCTTCCTCTCTCTCACTTATTGTCGTTGATTGTATTGTTACCTTGAATTGACCAATATCAAGTTACTCAAAGAGTCATAATCACAATCCATTGTTATCCATCCTCATCATCATTATATTATTATCTTATTATTGTAGTTGTATGGGTGTTTGGATGGGCTTTTTTTACAAGCATTTATAATGTTAATCTATTATAATGTGAAGATGATGAAGATGAGGATGCAAATGATGATAAAAATGACCATGATCATTATGATGTCGATGATGATACAAAGACTGGTGGTAACTATTAGATAAAGAGAATGATAGAAAAGGTTTGACAGTCGTTAGTGTATTATAATCACTTTGATATATTAACCAAGTCGCCATTTTGGCTTTTCTATTTTCTTACCTTTCTTTTTTCTCTTTCTTTATCTTTCAAAGGTGAATCTGCATATACACAAACACTCTGTATATTTACACATTGTTATAAATATCATCCAATCAAGTTAATCACCTATTGTCCTGAGCTTTTCATTGATCTGCAAAAAAAAGGTAAACTGAGTGGAACCAATTGATAGAGATGAGGAAAAGGAAGAGTTTAAATTGTAATGGTTTCCAATGTATCTTTTTTCAATCATTTTTGTCATCCTCATCTCTTTCTCTTGCTCTCTTGCTCTCTCTCTCTCTCTTCACCCAACCTTGTTGACGTTAATTTTGCTAGTTAAATGTTGTCTCTTTCATCGTCATCATTATTATCGTTTTCTCTGTCTTCTTAATCTTCTTCTCCTTCTTTCTCCGTCTCTGTATCTCTTGTTATTAGTCCCTGTTAACAAAAGACTCACTGTGACTCCTTGTATCCATCCCATTCTGATGATGCGTCTCTCTGGTTGATCATCATCCTCATCCCGTGAATCATGTTACTGTCCTCTCATTGTAATTGTTGATGTAGTTTGTTATCTTGTTGTTGTTGTTGTTGTCTATGGAAATCAGCGTGTAACTAATAACGATAAGTATCATTTAATTTAAATGGTTTACCGTGAAAAGGATGATGATGATAAAAAAGAAAACTGTTAGTTGGACACAATGATGATGATCATCATCAAAACATTTCTTTCTTTTCCCTCTTGTGACAATTTCAATGAAAATTTGAATCAACAGCCAAGAGAAACATTGGAAACGCTTTTTTTCATATAGAAAATTAATTCACTTCATCATGTTAACAATTGAAATTAGTATCATTTTTTAAACACACTAATAACAATTGACTCTTTTTTTTTGTTAACTGCTGTTGATTGTTGATGGGCCAAAATAATAAGGTCTTGAGTTTATGTTGTACAACCAATGAACGAATCAATGAGTTTATTTATGTTTACCACAATTAAGGTGACAACAGCTTATCTCCGGCCTCTCATCTAGAAATTAATCTAATGATTAGATTCTAATCATAATTACGACGCTTACTATAAGTTACTAAATTGAGGTGATCCTTTTATAGTACAACTGGTAAGAAATTGCCATCATTCACAAAGCTGATCTTTATTCCATTCTAATCAGTATTTTGTAACCATCCAAACTTCTAGATTCTTAATCAAGTCTTCCAACCGATTGCCATTGAAAAAAATTCTCCTGATTAACTGAAATGCAAAAGAAAAATAAATCACAACAATTAGAAGCGACAAGCAAAACAGAAAATCAATAGACAAAAACGATAGGTCAAGATACAGATAGAATCTCTAATATAACCCCCACATTAACCTCACCTTAGTAACTTACTTGAATAGCAATTAGCTCCATCAGTAATCTTGAACAATTTACTTAATTACAAATTGCTAATTTCTAATTAACAATTTGAATCTAATGGTTGCCAATTGGAATGATCGATACCATCGAATCAAATGAATCCATACTTTCGATATCGATACTTGAATCGAATTTCGGAAAGTGTCACCATCTATGAATAGACTTAGAAGTTATTTGAGTTCTTCAAATTTTTTATTTCTCTCTTTTTGTTTTCAAATATTTTCTTGGTGTAAATCATTTAATTACTTAATTTTATTGATTTAAATTATCAATTAAATTGACGACAACTTATTTTATTGAAACAATGGCCACCACATATGTGAAAGATGATGCAGGTAAGTGTGTAAATCGAAATTAAACTGTTAGTTCTTGGATTAGTAACCTTACTTTTTGTTCCCTTTTGTCTGGTTAAAGTGGTAATGTGTTTGTTTGAATTGTAAGTGTGGGTTTTTAGTGGTGTTTATTATGTGAATCTTTATGATTCTCTCTTTCTCTTTTTCTTTCCTCTTGGCACACGTTGCTGGAACGAGATTGAAATGTGCTTTTAGTTTGAATTAATTGTTGTTCAAGTTGAGCTTGATTGTTGATCTATTATTGGCAATGTTTGATGAACAATCGTTTGAAGATACATTTTGAATAGATTATCCTGGATTCGGTTTTACTGGTGTGTAGCACATGTTTGTGTCGACTGGTATTGATTGGGCATTAGTTTTGCATTTTTCTTCTTCTTTTTTCCCGTTTTATGTTTATTTTCTTTATTACTTATTTTCTCAGGTAACTCTTTCATTGCAGCTTCTCAAAGACCCGACGGATCATGGCGAAAACCTAGAAGAGTCAAGGATGGTTTTGTTCCCCAAGAAGAGGTTCCCCTTTATGAATCGAAGGGAAAAAAATTTGCAAAAGATCGAGAAACTGTTCTACCTCCTGGCTTAGATCCTGAGCTTTGGGAAAAAATGAAGGCCAGTCAAGAAAAGATGGCAAAGAAGAAAACTCAAGACTTAAATAAACCTACGAAAAGCAACAATGTTACCAACAACAACAACAATAATAATAATAATAAGGGAAACAATAATAACAAAAATAAAGGAAACGATGGAAATAAAAATAATGGTAAACCAAACAAGGGTGGTAAAAACACTGGTACAACTGTCGCTGGTAAATCATCTAATAATCATGCCGTTGATCAAACAATCGATTCAAATATACCTTTATCTATACACACAACGCCTATGTTAATCCCTGGAATTAGTGGAGAAGATGAAGAATGGGTAACAGTTACATCAAAGAATAAAAAGAAAAAGGCAAAAAGTGCGGAAGAAGCTGCCAAAGCTCTTGCTGGTGGAAAAGATTCGACCGCTGCTCCGGTCAATGTTATTAAGATACAAAATTCAGTTCGAATTGTAGAAACCGATAAAGGAATTAAGGTTACCAATGAAGCTGGTCAACCCTTGACGACGGATCCAGCGAAGAAGCTGAGAAATTTGAAGAAAAAACTTAAAGACATCGAGAAACTGAAAGGAATGGACCCACAAAAATTGGAAAAAGAACAAAAAGACAAAATCAAGACTGAAGCCGAAGTTAAAGCAATGATTCGTCAATTGGAGATTAACCTCAATATTTGAGAATATTTTGAGAGAAAACTGATTAGTCCAATTCCTGATGAAGTTAAGCAACTCAATTTTTCGCCTCTAAATCAACCAACAATAACTTAATTGACCTTACCAACAATCTAACATTACCCTCCAATGGAAAACCCAAATTTGGATGACTTTTTTTTCTTTCCACTTTGTCTCTCTCTCTCTCTCTCTCTCTCTCTCTCTCTCTCTCTCTCTCTCTCTCTCTCTCTCTCTCTCTCTCTCTCTGTCCTCATTTTTTGTCGATTCATAAAAAAATACCAAGTGGACTTTAATTAGTCTACAATTAGCCTGTTTCTAGCAATAATAACTTTTTTTCTTTAACTCTTTTTCCCTATCCTTGTAAAACGATGCAAGATTCTGGTTTACCAACATTTAGAAGATCTTGATTGTCTTAAATTGTAATACTGATTCTAACAAGGTTTATTCAATCATGAAAAATGATGGGACCTTTTTTATAAATCAACTCTACTCTTGCAAACAATTAATCCCTTTCCCATAATCTTCCCTTTCTCCATCTCTCTCTCTCTCTTCTCAAATATACAACTTTTGTGTATATAAATTAATTGATTCTTGAATTAGTTGTTTAAATTGGATCAATCAACCCATTCATCTCTATGAAAACCTTTCTCTGCCTTCTATCAATAATTAAATTAAATTTGTAATAATCACAATCTAAACAATTGAGGTGATATCAAAATCTCGACTCTTAGACTAACCAATTAAGCTCAATGTTACCCAGGCTTCCAGGCAACTAATCAATATTATTCATCATCATACCAACAATTAACAATTAATCTTGTGTATCATTAAGATGTGACAAACAATTAATGGAATTTTTTTGATTAAAATGAAAGGAGAAATCAAATGAAAGGGAAACTAATTGATTATTAGCATTGTACTTTTTTCCCTAAATTGTGTTGGTTAAATTGTGAAAATGAAACAAATTGTAGTTTCTCCGATTCTAGTAAATTATTTAAGTGCACTTATGATCATAATTTAGATGTTAATCATTGTAATCAATTGTCGATTGTGTAATTTCAATGAGACAAACAATTTCCTCGTAACAAATTAACATCTAACATTTGAATCTAAAACAATTAACCATAAAATCAACATTATCCATTTTTGTTCATCGTAATCAAGATGATCTAAATTGTAAATATGATTAGATTACTGGTAAATTGGTTAAAATATCGATAATTAACTTTATTGTAAAACTTAATTAGTTGATTTGGTGTTTCATCAATACTGTATAAATACATTTTGCTTTCTTTTTAATAACATTTATTATAAATTATAAATCAATATAAACTGATTATGTGATTAAGTTAATCATCAGCTCGAGCAAATTGTTAGTGTTTCCTTTCAGTTAATTGTAATTGTTTTGGTATTTTCAATTTGTAAGTGCACCAGAAATTAAGAAACTAGATGTTTCATTCAATCAAACAAACACCAAGTTTTCATTATTTTTTTTGTTTACCAATTAACTTAATAATTTTGGTGGTCAGAATGATGTCCAGTTTTAAATTAAATTATATAATTAACTTATTATAACATAAGTTTATGATTAAATTTTGTTTGTGTGTGTTGACTTGAAGATAATCTTTTGGTTTTTCCTTGGGAGTTTCAATTAGTTTCAATTTGTTTTGATATCTTATTCAATCGGGATAATTTAAAGGTTTCCACTAATTGTTTACGCAATTGCTTTAGCCTCTGGCAGGAAAGCCTCCCAGTATTTAATTATTAATTGTTGATCTTCCAATAAACTTTCCATGTATTTGATGAATGTCGCTTTGAAATCCTTCACTCGATCAGATTCAAATTTTTCCACTTCGGTTTTAATGTTACTTGAGATTTGGTCAAACTCTTCTTGTCCTCGTTCAACTTTAGCCTCCCACTGGTAGAAAAACAACAAAAACAACAATTAGATTATAGTTAGAATTAAATTTTACAATTAAAATTTTTCATTTGTCTTTCATTACCTCGACTATTTCTTCTTGATCTTGACTACTTGGTTTACCAGCTAGCTCATGTTGAGTCTTTTGCTGTCGTTTTTTATTAAGCATTTGCTGAGCATGTTGCCATGTTTGGTAGACTTTAACTCGTTGATGAAACAATTCTTTGATTACAATTATCAGAGAAATGTAATCATGAATTGGTTCTGATAGATGGTAAAAGTCAGCGTTCATTTGGTCACCATGAAGCTGTTCAATTTTCTCATGAGTTTCAGCTAATTGAGAGAGAGCACAGGAAAGAGCGGTGTGTTCTTCACAATTACCCAACATGGCGGCTGATTTAGCGAAAGCCCCGGTTGATTGGGTCAATTCTTTACGGAAATGTATCAATCCTTCAACGCTTGCATGAAGTTTCCTCAATTGTTGATCCAGAATTTCAATTTGGTGTTGTTTCTCTTCGAACCACTGAAAACAAAAGAAGCGAGAAAATCAAAAGATTAACATTGACAATTATTTGATTAATCGAAATGAGTGACAAAAAGATTACAAATCAAAACAAATGGAAAAGGAAACTACTTTTTTAGGCAACTAGGCGTTTTTACCTCAAGATTAAATGAGGAATAAAGGACCTAAAGTGATTATTGATTATTGGAAAGCAATTTGAGTGGAAAGGGGGATAGAAAAAGGATAAGAATTGTCAGAATTCAATAAACAATACGATTAAATTGCTGGTAGGCGTTTTAAAGAAAGATAGGGCAATTAATATGAAGAGGTGGTGATAGTAAGGTGTGTAAATGGTGATTAAATTGCTATTCGGGAAATTGGTTTGTTTCTAATTGTTCGAGACGCAATTAATCCTGAAGATTAATGGAGGAAGAGAATTATGAACAAATGAAATTCAACCTGAAATGAAAGCTAAGCTCATCAGATTATATCGTAAAGGAAGATGAAGAGATTTGATTGGCAGTCAAGGAGTTGGAATGAATCAACAGATAAATGAGAGATGAGTAAGAAACACTAATTGTTGACGATGGGGAGTATTTTTTGCGGGCTGATTGTTGTCAATTTTGATTGTTGTCAGGGTCAAACTTACTGGATCAGTTTCATCCATTCGGAATGTAATTTTACTGACAGTATCACCCATTCGGTTGAAAAGTCGCCTTACACCGGCTCCACTTAAAGCAGAAGTGCTTTTGGCTTTGGGTAGGTCACTTTCAAGTTCAAGGAATTCACGGAAGTCATGATCGGATTTAAGTACTGGATGTGATGCGATTCTGTTGACAAATCGGGTTAGAGAGGCGGCTCGTCTTTCCAGAAAATCAGATGAACCTGAGGTTTCATCTTTGGACATGATAATTTTGGCATTATTGACAGCATCCTTTTCTGGGGGAGGAGGAACAATTATACCTGAATGTATATGTTTCTCAGTTAATTTCTCACGAAGACCAAGAAAATCTGAAAACCGACGATTAACTGAGAATTTTGTAGTACGGAAATTGGTTAAATTGGTTCGAGTAGAAACTTTATAGCAAACATATGATCCCATTCCTTCACCAATTTTCTGTGGATCAGAAACTTTAATCTCTAAAAATGAGTCACCATTTTCTTGATGCTGTTGCTTTTGATGTTGCGCTTGTTGTTGGTATTTTTTGTTGCCCGATTCCTTCAAATCTGAAACAGTATCATCCTCTTCTTCTTGTCCAACAGAAAAGGCATCATTAATGTCAATTTCAACAGTTTCTCCAACCGAAGAACCAAGGGCAATATTACCTCCACCAGACAATCGGCCCACCACCAAGCCAGAACCTTGTGAGTCCATAGAGTTGTGAGTTGGTATAATAGCGGTTGGAGCAGGAGAAACAAGAACCGGAACCTCAGTAGGTGATGAATCCATTTTTCTGTTCGAAATTAAAGATCACAAGTCAACTACAATAAACAAACTACTAAACGGTGAGAATAAAAAATGAAATCAAACCAACACAACAATTAAATTGAATGTTAACAATTAGTCCAATAACCAACCCACTTGAAAGAATCATCAGTTGACTAACAATCTTTTCTACGCTAACATGAGATGGCGACACAATCGCTCATCGAAATTTCTCCAAATGTAAACAATAAGAATCATGGAAATTAATTGTAATTAACTAATTCTTTTGCTAATTTATTTAATTTTTTCCTAATTTCTTTGTAATTTTTTGTGAATTTCTTAGTCTCTAAGTGGACATTGTGCAATTCTGTTATTTCATTGGAAAATATCGGTTGTCAATCTTTCTCTAAACGGAGATAATTTTCTCCTTTCTTTTGTTTGGTTATTAATTGGATCTGAATCAATGGTGATTAATTATTCTAATCAATTTTATTTGTGTTTTATATTTATTTAGATAAATTAACCTAAGTGTCCATTTACTTGAAACATGATTGATTCCAGTTTTTACAATCTAGAGATTGGAGTTTCAGTTTCAGTAAACAACTTCACTTGATTACAATTTTTTATTGGTCCGATTATGACTCTTAATTTTGATCACATTGATTACTTTTTTTTTAAGTCATCGTGATTACGATTAGTACAATTGGAGCAATTGTTTCTTTCTTTAATTGTCATCTTTCATCTCTTGTCTTTTATCTGTTTCCTGGTCTATTTTAGTTGAAATTTTGTAAACATCATTTCCATTTGGATTGTTATTAACATTTGCATTTGATTTATTTGCAATTAAATTTTTCTTTTTCTTTTCTTCCAGTTGTTTAATTGCCGAAGTGTCCCATTTATGTCTGGTCAAATCGAGCCAAAGAACAACACCGAAAGGATAGAACATGGTCAGTGCTGCAAAATGATGCACGATTCCAGGAAAATCTTGAATGGTCATTTTAAAGAGAGTTGAATAAACCACCGAGGCGACCATTGGACCAGATGATTCAATACAAGCTAAAAGGGCGAAAACCTGTCCCACCTCGTGTTTGTCTATTATCCTCGATAAGATTGACCTGATAGCGATGGGTAATAGCCCAGCACAAAGGCCAACGATGGTTGAAATATAAAAAGCACTTGGAGCTAAGAGTCCACCTTTGACCGTTAAGGAAGAGATCAAAGAAACAGATCCAATGATAGCTAAAGTTGTGTCCGAAAGGTGAAACTTGTGAATCAAGATTATTGGTAGAAACGAATGGCTCAATGTTGGAATGACCATCATAACGGACGTTATATATGAATAATAAGCAGCATCCCAATGATAAACTTTCTGTGCAAATGGGAAGCCAATGGTTCCCTCTCCCATGTGACCGATTAACATGATGTTCATTGCAAGCATCAAATGCCAAACTATTTTCCGTCCATTATTGACTCGAGGTCGACAACAAACTCGAACCATGTTTACGACTGTGGAGGGGTTGAAAATATCCATTATAATTGGAATACAACCAGTTGGTCGAGGGCGATCTTGTTTATTTGTATCGTTCGAAATGGCATTGCCATTAATATCCAAGGAAACTTTTGATGTTTCAAGATCTTTTTTCGGAGATTCCAATTCTATTTCCACCATTTTATCATCACCAAGTTTCACTGGAAAATCTTTGACTGAAATGTCCGATGTTGTCTTTTGATCAGAATCTTCTTCGACTTGTTCATGAGCGTCATTGAGAAACAACAACACCCAAACCATTGCAATCAATTTACACGTAAAACTGATGAGGAAAACAGCTAAGTAGTTACGGTGCTGACCTTTTATCCAAGGTTCTGAGGTGAGGACTCGTCCACCGATAGCGGTTGCTATTGGAATCGCTATGGATTAAAGTTTAGAAAATTAAATGAATTTATTTCTTTTCTGATGAAAATTATGATTTTTTTTACTCACAGGCAAAAATGAACAGTTCTAATATTGCGAATCGAGCAGCTCGATATTTGGCTTTGGTTCGACGAGTGATGTATGTATATGAACCCGTCATGACGATGAAAAATCCACCAGAAAGTCCATGAACAACCGATATCCAAAGGAGATTGTAAACATCTAATAGAATTAAGAAACTGGAAACAATTAAGAATAGACTGAAAGTTGAAACTGTAATCAATCAATTCCTGGATTTACAATCAACATACTTATCTCAAAATAAATGGTGTTGTAAATGGCAAAAAGGACTGATAAAGCGCCTCCGAAACAGGGAAGGGCCAACAGATATTTCAAATGCCTGGGATATGAATCAATCCAATATCCCATGAAAATGGACAAAATGATTCCCGGTGGGGTCGCTATTAAGTGTTGATAATTTTTAAAGATGGTTGAAAATGCATATACTTGATTCTTGACCTCTTCATATTCTGGACCAAGTTGCTCCAAATGAAGGCACTTCGAGATTGTCATATCCAAATCTGTTTTCAGCTCATTGATACAAAATTTATCCTGAATGAACTGAGCGGCGGTCACATGAGGAATCGCTAATCCAAAAAGGTACAAAGCAAAGAAAACGTCCAATCGAAGCATCGAAAGTAATTCAATTATCTCAGGAAAGGTTAACTTGAAAAGATCTCCCAACATTTTCACTTGTTGATTAGTTAATCACTTCCTTTGGACACGTTACTAATTATTCACTTGGATACCTGTCACTTTAGTGTCAACTTAAATTGTTAGTTGATTACAAGTTTTCCAATTGAGTCAAATGAGATTCGATACTTTTTGTTATTCAAATGTATAAATGGAATCAAATTACACGATTTTTCACTCGATTAATTGATTTCTTAGATTTCAATCTTATTGGTTGTTAATTGACAAGGCACAATTTTCCTGAATCAAACTAGCAGATTAAGTTGATCATCTTTATTGTAAAACTAACAGAAATTGTTTTTGCTCATTTTCAGATGAAAATCTGAAAAAAAATCTCACTAATTACAAATGTAAATGACAGAGCAATTAACTTAATTGTTGAATGTTGTATAATTAATGAAATATTAGCTTTCAATGATTAAACTTAATCAACGGTAGTTCAAGATGGATCTAAATGATTAAGGTAAAAGTTGGAAGCACAGATCATCAAAAGTAACTGTTAAAAAGACACTGAAAGGACAATTAACTAAACAATTTGTTAATCATGATGATGATCATTATAATTTTCATCGATTGATGAATTTTTCATGGTCAATGTTTAATTGCTCAGTTAGGTAAATACTAATCATCCTCATTGTTATCAGGAAAATTTTAAAGTAAAGTAACACATTGAAAAAAAATTCTCAATGAGATTTTTAATTGTTACAATTGTCAATAAATTCAAATCTTTATGTTTGATTTTCACTCTTCATTTAATCAACTGATCAAATAAACTATTTGATTGACTAAATTTTACTTTCTAAATTAGTGAAAATTAATTTTCAACTATAAGACTGAATCAATTTAAGGAAACGTATTGATGATTAATCAGTGATAATAATTAACTTAAATCGTATTCATCTAATCTTTCAACCGATTCACTGATCACAAGCAATTTAAGTTTAATTTTCAATGTTCATTCTGAATAATTTGTGGTTAACAATTTATTAATTGTTATCCCTCTTTAAATTTTTTCCCTTTTTTCAAATTTAATTGTCAACCCATTGATTTATGTGATTAATCAACGTGAATCCTTGAATAAGATTAATCTAACAATTGAATGAAGTGAACAGGAAAACAACAATCAACTAATCAACAATTAAAAAGCCCCTTGGAAACTAATTGTGAAATAAAATGTTACCAATGATTATAATTAAAGTATTAATAGTTAATTTAATTCCAGTGAGTTTTTGTTACAATTAGTATTAGTTATTTCATTCAATTAACTAATCTCTTAATTTCATTCACAATTAACTTTACAAATATGATCACAGATGAAAACCGATTAACCCATTTACAGAGTTAATTGTACGTTCAGGTATTAATTGTTAACTCACAATTAGAATAAATTATTATCGTTTGATTTAATTAATTTCTTCTTTGTAGCTGTTAATTTAATTAATTGTTCAGATTTTTTCGTTCATTTAAATAGTAATTTATTTCTATACAAATATTGATAATAATTTAAATTCAGTTTCTTTGGCATTGTATCAACTATTAACAATTAGTCAATCATTTACAATTAAATAAGAAAGTGTTTCATTAAAGTTACAATTAACAAGCAATTTAAAGTTAACAATCAAATTTTGACATTCAGTTGATTCATTTGACTAGAATTGGACTAATTTAAATATATTTACATATCGATACAAAAGCTTAGATTTAAATTATCATTAATTAGTAACAATTAGAAAGATCGATTGATTAATATTAATAATATTGATAATTAATTATCCTTTGGAACAAAACAAGAATTTGAGATCTGAGAGAGACGATTGATCAATTATTGATTACAAATGAACAATTTTTGATTAGAAGAGTAAAAAGTTAAATTATTGATGATTAAAGTTAATCATCAGACTTGTAATTGATTTTCTGAAGTCATATCAACATTAATGTACTTTGTTGGATTATGAATATTGACCTGGCCCGTTGAAGTTGATGAATCCGTCGTATTGGTGGTCGTTGAATTATCGTAATTGTTGTTATTAACAGTTAATGAACCAGCATCGAGAATCAGTAAATCAGTACGATTAATGTTTCCATTATCATTACGAGTATTTGTTTCATTTGAAGGTTTAGTATTTAGATTAACATTGGACGGTCTTTCTGGTGGTGGACGATCAGGTAAAGGCCTTTTATCAGCTGATAGTGAACGTTGTACTAATTGATTTTGATGATTAACTGATTGTGCTTGATGGTGAGAATGATTAACATGATGATTGGAAGGAGTTAATGGTGAGTTAAAGGCTTCAACGCTATTCAAGCGATCATCGTCCATCATCATCATCATCATGGTCAATTTACAGTTATCATCGTTACCAGAGGTCACCGTTGAACAAGTGTCAGGGGAAAGAAGTTCAGTTTTCTCAGTGGAAATGGAATAATTTGAATTGGAATTGGAATTGGAACAAGCATTTGGTATTAGATAATCAGTTGAATCTGGAGGAGGTCTCATGATGGTTATATCGCGTTCAGATGATGGTGCTCGATGGAAAATCGCTAATTTCCGGGACAGAACATCCGGATCAACTAAACAATAGCCAATTCGCTCAATTATGGTCGGGAAATTTGGCCTATTCTCAGGTAGCGCTTGCCAACATTGCTGCATAATTGCGTAAATTTGACTTGGACACGCGTTATTAGGAGGCTCCAATCGTCCACCAGCAGTGACCAATTGCATCACCTCTTGATTACCTCGACCTGGATAAGGCATAAAACCCATGGACATGACCTCCCAAAGGAGGACACCAAATGACCAGACATCGGTCTTAGAGGTGAATATACCGTCAAGAAAGGCCTCAGGGGGCATCCATTTCACAGGTAACATCGCTTTCCCACCTTTGCGATAATAGTCCGATCTTTGTTCAAGTTGAAATAAAAAAAGAACCAAATTAACAAATTTAATTATTCAATCTTGAGCCAGTTAATTTACCTGTAAATGTCTCTCGCCATTCCAAAATCGGCGATCTTGACCACTAGTCCACTATTATTGAAGCCATTATTGTAATTTTCCATCTTGAAGGTTCCATCAGTTGAATAAAGAGTTGATGCTTGAGGCGATTTAAATTTAGCAGTTAACAGACAATTACGAGCGGCAATGTCACGATGGATAAAGTGATTCTCCTCCAGGTAATGACAACCACGAGCAACATCCAGAGCGATAACCAGAAGATCACCCATGCAAATGGGCGATGGTTTATTGACGGAAGCTCGAGACTCACGAAGAAATGTTTTCAAATCTCCTCCAGCCAAAAGTTCCAGGACAATGAATCGAGGCATTTTCTCGAAACAAACGCCAATGAATCGAACGATATTTCGATGACGAAACTTGGACATTATCAACGCTTCCATGAGAAAGTCCATTTCCGCCTGGTTGTTTGCTACCTGTTCGGGTAAGGTTTTTATGGCGACTGGAACCTCGTCCAAAACCTCACCCGTCATATTGATCAGAATACCTTGATAGACTTCACCAAAAGCCCCCTGACCAAGAGCCCTAGCGCTTGAGAAACAGGAAACGGAAGATAAATTGTCTCAGTTAATAATTACTCTTAATTGGTAATAACAAAGATCAAAAGCAGAAACGACCAATCATCTCAAAATACTAACTTGCTCAATGAGAGTTTATCCCTTGGTATCTCACGAAGGTCAGATAAGGTACAAGTTGACCCACCGAATTCATAATTGGGATTAAATTCAGTTACGATATTATGTCCATTTCGAAGTCGACTTAATTGTACATCGGTTGAACTATTTGATAACAATTGACTCGATGAAACATCACGATCACCACAACGAGATCGAGAATTTGGTCCACTGGTTAAGAATTTCCATTTGAATCGATGAACTAGAACAAAATTCATATAATTATATTAATAATTATTCCCAATTGCTGATTATTAATATGCTAAAGTTAATCAACTTACAGAATGAAAGGAAGACACCAGTAAAAATAACCAATGCGATAGTAAAAAGTAAAAAAAGTATAAAAATTCCAGTGAAGGATAATTCAGTTCTTCCTAGGGAACAAACAAAAAATAAAAGAAAATCAGTCAATAATTAAAAGTGACAATTAGTTGATACGATTACCTGAAAGTCTAAAGTAACCATCGCGAAAATCATTTGAATCATCAGCTGATTGAATTGAATCAAGTGGAGGAGGTTCACGAATCTCAGTTAAAGGAACTCCTGGAATCGAGATGAAATTGATCAACAATTAATCATTTATTACAATTAGAAGATTAAAAAATAGTCAATACGGACAATCGACTGAACGTTAATTAATTATTTACACTTTCTGAATCAAACTCAAGTGTATTAATTAAAAGTAAAGAATAAGAAAAGGTCAATGGAAAAGGGATTAACCTTCATTAGAACTTTTCTTTTCCCTGTTAACTCAATGTTTCATGATGAATTGACCTTAATTCATCTGATAGATTCAATCAACTTTGATTGGTCAAGAGGTTCAACAAATTCAGTCAATAATTAATCATTCTGATCTTTGTAGGATAATTCAAGGATCATTAGGTTAACATGAGATGGAAACAAAATTATCAATGCAAATAATCAGAGTGAAAGGCAATCATGACCATTATGATTAACCATATGAATAGAAATCAAGATGGACAATCAATTGATTGTTAAGAAAATCAAAGGATTAGATTGTTACTTGAAGTTGAGGTCAAGTTGGACCACTTACCGATTCCAAAGCATTCCTTGGATAGAGTTAAATTGTCTATGTAAATGGGCACCGAAGCACTGGTTAGGTCACGTTTGAAAAACTCGAAAGTTATATTGTATGAGGTTCGGTGGTGGGACGGTAAAGGGACGATAACTTTTCTCCAGATCTCTCGAGAATCTCGAACGGGTATCGTGTAAGTACCGTTTTTGACCTTCTTTGTGTCCTCAAATACTTGCATTGAAAACTCAGCGCTACTTGGCTTGAATGCGAACCAAAAACGTATCTGAAAAGATATTCAGTCGAAAGAAAATTTGAATATAAAATCATTCGGACCAACAAATGATAGAGAAACTCAGGCCACTTACTTTACACGATTGATAATAAGGTGATGTTTCAAGTGAATGATAATAAGGAATCACCGGGAATTGTGGACTTCGTATGAAAATAGCCTCACCGAATTTGCTTCGAGAATTGAACGAGGTGAAAAGGGAACCATTTTTAAGGGTCAATTTGTACTTCGCTGGTTGCGTTTTGTTTACAATGTACCATTCGCAAGTGTCCTCGCCGAATGGACAATAAGCTCCTCGAGGTAATTTATCTGGAAGAAAAAGAACCTCAATTAGAATCAGAATTGCGAGTCAATTTTCAATTTCCACCATTGAACATGACCAAAGAGCAATTAACTTAACAATCTAATCAATTCGAAGCTTTTACCTTAATTGTTACAAATGATTCATCAATTAGACTCACAGTGAAATATGAGTAAATATTTTCCTTAATCATAGTAATCAAATTTCAACGTTAATTGATTTGTCTCAACATATTAATTAATATAATCTGAAAATAGAGTTGATTGTCAATGTTATTTGATTATGTGACCTGGTTTACTTAATTAACTTGGTAAATTAAAATTGGTCAATTCAAGTAAATCAAGATGTAAATATTATGTTCAACTTAATTGAAGAGGTAACAATTTACAATATTCACAATTAACTGATTGTGTTTGATGATAAAATTTACATGTTAAACAAAAACTGGGAAAACTGTTTATTCAGTGAAATTATTATACAAATAATAATCATGATAATCATGATATCAGGTTAATTCATTTGCCTTTCAAATGAGACAATTTATTAATAACCTCAAGATGAATTGTTGATAAATTCATGAAAATATCTTATGAACAATTCTGAATAAGATAAATATTTTCACTTCCATGAGTTAATCAATTTCATGTACAATTAAAGTTTACAAAATTCCAGGAATCACCTTAAATATTGAGTGAAATTAATCATAACAATAATAAGAATCCTATTAACCTGGAATCGAGTTAATTGTTTATCATTGAGAGAAACGAAAAGATTATTTTCTATTTCTTATTTTTTTTTCTCTTTTTCTCTTATTCAATTTCATTTTATCGTAAAGGATTAACATGATGGAAACTCAGGCAACTGAAATCTTTTCCTTCCTCTTGATTGATTACTATGGTGAAAAAAGTTCTGATACAATTCTTGAAATTAGTCTCATGTTTTCATGAGAGTTTCATCAACAGAATTTTTCTTCAGTTAATCAACTTTGTTGTTCAACATTTAACATCTTTTCAATTCATTTCATCATGATAATCATTAACCTTCACTATTCAATTTCAAAGATTAAGGTCAATCAATAGGAAAGAAACATTTGTATTGATCATCAATCTGATTCTTTTAATTTCATTTAATTTCAATCAAGTTAATTGTTCAAAACTTACCACAATCTTGATTTTCATCTTCTCCATCCGGACAATCATGTTTTAAATCACAAATTTGATCTGATGTTATACAATTTAAATCATTTGTACACTTGATGGCACAATCGTTATGAGCCCTGATCATTTTTTCTGTAAGGAAAAAGTTTTCAAACAATTTAGTTAACAATTAGTAAATCATGAAAGTTTAACCAGCTCTCAGAGACGACCATTAGTTTTAAAAGGATTTACCATTTAAATATTAACAGCATTTTAAGTGATCAAAATAAATTGTTAATCATAATGGTTAATTTTGTTTTCCTTTTCTCAATTAACAATTAACAATTTATGAAGCAACTAAATTAAAGGTAATTATCATTAGCTTTAAAAGTTATTAGCAGAAATGATTATGGAAAATGTTTCTCAACTGATTTGTATTGTGATCACATATTTAGATTAATGATTAGCTAGTGAGTGAATTAAATGAGCAAGTTAATTGTGTTCCGATTACAATTGAATAAGAAATAAGTTTTTAATCAAATTAGCGGTTGACAATAAGCTGAATGATTAGTTGGCTAATGTTATTTCAATGTGTCGCCAACAGAATCAAGTTTATCATTATCACAATAAGAGATGACAATGATTATGATTCTGATGATAATCTGATGATTGAAATAATACTCAATAGTTTATGTTGTAGATCATGTTCATGAGAAAGATTCAGATTCATCATGATAAATCTAAAGTTCCACCAATAGATATCACGTTTTTCTGTAAGAACTTTGTTTCCCTTTCTTTTAGCTTTATCTCGCTGTGATGATAATGATGAGGATATTATTTTTCTTTATCAACATTTTCATGTGCTCATCTTCATTTCTCATCCTGATTCCTGTGCATGGGAATCTGAGTTGAGAAGGAGGCGAACTAAATTTCTCAGTTCAATGAATACCAAATGATATTTATCATTATTAACATTGAATACTCGCTAACATCTTCAGACTGATCTATTATTATCACAATTCTGGGAGAGATTCTCAATGTTGGAACATTTTTTCAGCTTCTAACTCATTTTTATCCAATCTTTTCACTTCATCGACTTAATCATTAAATCCTGATTCATGATGAACGACGTATACACAGAAAGCTGAGTAACGTCATGATAAATTACTAGCAATTAGTTAATTTAGATAAAACTGTGAAGTCATACCATCTTAATAAATGATTTCAAAAGTTTTTTCATCAAATTCTTGATCCATAATTAATATTTTAATATCTTCATGTAGAATCCTCAATAATAAATGAATCGGATTTTTTTTAATCTCTACTCATGATTTACAATCTGATTCTGTCGTAAGTTAAATTATGTTAATCATGTCGATGATAATAATAATTGCACTCGAAATTGTGATCAAATTTCATGACAGAATCAACTGATTACTTGATCAACATTCAACCTCAATTCTCAAAGATAATATTACTCTCATCATGGAAACAAAACAATGTAATCATTTAGTCTAATTGTTTACCTGTATTTACCTTGGAGGTAACAATCAAATTAGACTAATTTAATAGTCGGAATATCATTAAGGTTTACATAGTAAATCGTGCGACAACAATTTACCTTGGAGCATTAATCAAATGGTAACTTGATTACTCTGAGTGGATAAACTTTTCTTGAAACCATTTTTTAAATTATTGATTATTTACTTTGTGAATTAAGTTTATTTTTCTTATTGTAATTAGTTAATTGGTTAACTTACTTTGGAAACAATTTTCCAACGAAATTTTTCTGATGGAAACATAAGATTCTGAGGATAATCGGGAATTAGGACTTTCTGTGAACTCGACCAATAATTGGAAGTCATGTTTGGATGTTCCGATTGGATATCGTTCATCAGTCCATCTGAAAGTTAAAGAGTAAACAATTAGTTGATTGTTGCGCTTATGGAAAGAGAAAAACTTATTAATATTATAGATAATTAACCCAAAGCATTAAACATTATTAAAGTAAATTGATTCTTGTTGAAAACTTGAAAGTACTCAATGGAAATCAACAGCTTCAGGGGATGAAGTTTATTCCTCAGGGTTGAAACTTTAATACAAAATTTATCTCAAGTTAACATCAAATTGGAATCTGAATGAAACTGATGATTCTTTCAGGGGGAATGTTAATCTTACTCGGAAATTGTTCAATTTATTTGGAACCATTTACAAGGATGAAAATAATGAGAATCTTAGAAGAGAAGGAAAAAAAAGTTCTGATTATTTTGTTTCCCTGTAAATCCTTCATCAATTTCATCTTGATTCTTTGGTTCATTTGTTTCAAAAGGTAATTAATTTGCAATCACAATTATCATCATGCTGAAGACTCATGAGACTTTTTCAAAGTAATTTCTCATATTCCAACGGAAGTAACTTTTTTCCCTTCATAGGAATATAATTATCAAGAAAATCATTTACGATGAGTAATTAAACTGTTATTAATTCCCAAAATTTAATCAATCCTTTCATCATGAGGGAAAATATTCAACATCAGAGAAGTGAATCAATTCTGACAAGATGATGGATAAAATTTTCCACCATGAAAATTGATTAATAGTCATTAACATTCACCAAGTTATATTATCATTAAACTGAGCATGATTAACTTCAAGTTCAGAATTCAAAGTGAATCATTTCAATTCTGATATCAACTCATTATCATTATGTATATAAATTAAGATAACTTTTTCATGATAGTCACAAGGGACTTGCATTTAGAAGGCGAATCAAGATTTGTTTTCATTTTTAAACTTGAATTTCTGATTTAGAAAAACTATCACCATGAGAGTTTATCCTGAAATTTATTCTGAAGAGGTCTTGGAGATAAGTTTACCACTGTACATGGAAGATGAATGTCCAGTTGTAATATTATTTTCTCTTTTCTTTTTTTTTCTTCCAAGAACTTTTCAAAATATCGAAAAGGGAAGAGATAAGTTTACATGATGATGATGATGATGGTGACAGAAATACGTTTACAGAAGATAAGAGATGATTTCAAGATGATGATGAAAGATGAAGAGGAAGAGATTTAAGTTCTGAAGATGAGAAGAGTAAAAAAAATAGATTATATTGATAAGTGTTCAGCTTTTTTCCCTCATCTCGATTCTCATTTGATATAATATCAATTCCAAATCAACATCAATCTTGTTTTTGTTTCTCTGGACTCAACATTTCAATATTATCATGTATTCAGTTACAATTGAAATGTCCAGTGAAGGATAAAATGAAAGAATAGAAAATTTTGTTAAATTCTCAATTCCGAAAATACAAATACTCTCATTTCAATTGAATGCTGAGAATGAACAAATGACTTTCCAAATATCAATTCTCTTAAGGTGAATGTCATTAGAGTCAATTTTTGGATAACCATGGGGAGAAATGAGAATCGCTGATGAAAAATGAATTGAGTTTACAAGTTTCTGATTAATGTTGAAAAGATGATGATAGGAATAGATGAGAATGCAAGTGAAAGTTTGATTTGCTTGTTAAAAATAAAATTTCCTTTTATATCAAATGTCCTCATCCTTTTTTTTCATCGGTCAAATTAATATTAAATAATATATAACAAACTCTACTTTTGATTGACCACAAGAAAGTGAATCAAGCAATAAAGGTATCAAGAGTCAACGAAGCTTGAGAATGAGGAAGAAGAAAGTTTTTTTTATCCTTCATCAGTGAGTAAACAGAGGGTGAAAAGGAATCATGAAGAAGATGACAAGATGATGATAAGGATGATAATGGTGATGATAATGAAGACGAAGTTAAATGTCTGAATTTCTCTCTCTCTCTCTCTCTCTCAGCTTCTTACATTGCTTTGCATTTACTGGGAGGCAAAAAAAAGGAGTGCAAACAAAATGCAATTTTGCAAAGATGACAATTGATGGAAACATTTTCATCCTTCAATTGTGTCCACAACCATCAGCATCAGTATCAGCATCACCATCGATGATGATAATAAAAATAATGATAATATGACTTTCTGTTTGTCTTAGTGCTTAAACTAAGCCTCTCTCTCTCGTATCTACAATCTTGTAAAAACTGAATTAAATCATTTGTTTTATTATTACATTTTTGGCTTGACCAATAACAGTTTATGCTGCCCCTGTTGCCTTGCATCATTATGCTTGACCTTTTCTTTTTTCATACTCTGGTCAGAATTGTACGTGACCATCCATTCAGTTTTCAACCATGATTACACTTCATCTTGATTCAGTCTCTAGTCGTTCAGTTGCAAAGCTATTACAATCAAAGTCCATGTTGGCTCAGCTTTTTTTTCCTTAAATCACAGAATTTAAAACAATCAGAGAATCAGAATAATCTGAAAAAAAACTCAGGAAAATCTCATTTCCCTCTTGTTCGAGTTAATCCATTTTATGAACAATTTGTTCAGAATTCTCAAAATGAAGATGGAAAATTAGGAAACTGAATTTATTTTCGAGAATTAATTGTTTCTCTGGAGAGAGAAGTGGAAATACTTGTAAACAATTTAAATATTATAAACTTTGCTCTTTTCATGGTTAATCAGAAATGTTGAATATGTATAAGCTTCACAATTATTATTCATTTCAAGCTCATTGAGTTTCTGAGATGTTTTTTATGTAATCATATTGACCCATGAACTTTACATGGAAGTTTTTTTTTCCTTCAATAGAAAGTTTTTTCCCTCTCAAACCATTGAAAAAGTCCTGATACAAAAGATGAGCAAGGAAACATTTTCATTTGGAAATTCATTCAGAATTACGATAATCTCTTTCTATTACTTATCTAATTCTATTGTAAATTCTAGAAAAGAATAAGATTATTGGTCAATAAAACAAAATATTAAAAGATAAACAATTTATTTGAATTCCTCATGAAGGGAAGAAAATAATAGGAAGAAAAAGAATGAGTAAAAAATGATAATGACAAAAAAAAGAAGAAAATTTTAACGATAAAAAAATATTCTCATGAGAGTTTTGAGTTCCAATGGATCTTCAAGAATGAATTTTCCTCTTTACTTAATATCTTTACAATAATATGAAACTTGAAAAGGTTTCTATCAGAATCTTGATGATGTAAATCAATCTGCATTCAGCTCTCAATCAATTATCAATTTTTCATGATAATAAACTTTCGTAATTCTAGATCTCGAGATTTGTGAATTATATTGATGAAAAAGACGCTTTTTTGTGTTGATAAAACACTCTTCTAGTGATTCAATTGAATCTCTCAAGGAAAACATATTTATATGATATTCACAAAGTTTTATCTCAAAATTCAGGGAAACAGAATTTTCCTTTTCATGTTATTTCACCAAAGCTCAATAGACTTTCAATCTTTTCAGCTTCTTTCACCCAATCAAAATTATCAAATTCAAACTTTTCGTCCTCCCTGTCGGATTGTATTCACCAAGTGGGTGTCGATATTTATTACGTGGTGTACATGAGGTGTGGTTTGTCACTTCCTGTCTAGATTGGACATTTAAGAATCAATTAAATCTTCTGAATGAGAGAAAATCATTCAATCTTGATGATCGATGGATGAAATGTGAAACAGAAAAGTTGATTTCAATTATAAAAATTCAATTCTATTCAAATTATTCATGAATTTCAAACATTTATCATGATATGTGCTCATTATCATTTTCATTGAAACATAAGTTCCAGAGTTTCATCAAATTTCATGATATTACTTTAAACCTATTTTCATGGATGAAACAATTTAGAGAAAAAAAATCGACTGAAATTTCACAGAAAAAAATTGATCTTTGTTTGATATTATTAATAATTCTGATTCTAATATTTCATGAGATTTGAACTTTTTACTCCTACTTTTATAATTCAATACTAACCTTTAGTTTCATGTAACATCCAATAATGAAATCACCCTGAAGGCAAATTGACTCGTTAGATCACCCAAACGTTGCTTTTTCATGAAACATTGAAAGATCATGAAAAAAAGGCTAATGATAGTTTGATGATGTTTTGTTAGTTCTGAAAATAACTTTTTTTATAAGCTGATTAATCAGATGATTCGAACCTTTCAAATAGATAGAATCACAAACTCACCTGATTAATTAGTGGATTAAAAAGTTAGAATGAAATTGAAATCATAAAGATGCATCTCTACACCAAATCACATGATTTCCTCTGAAACTCTGAAGTTCTGATGATCGGTTGATAGTTGACACATTTAAAAGTGATATTTTATTGAGAATCAATCAAACTTTGTTCCAATTTTATGAACAATTAAAAGTTAACAAGGAAAACGTTTTGATATTTTTCATGGTTCATATGAGTTCTGGTTCTATTGCACCCATCATGATTAACTTCATCAGCCATGAGGTAATCAGACTAGTCTTAAGTTCAATTGAAATCTGAGTTTCTTAAGAAAAGTTCAACGTGACTCATCATTAACTTATCATGATTGAACAAACAATTATGATGACCAATTGAATCTACTTACTAATTGAATGAGGTTGTATAGTGACAATTAAGTTGTGAATTGTTGTTGACACAATTTGATGAACTAAAAATAATCATTTGATCAAATTAATTTCAAATTAACACATGATATTCATTATGAACATAATCATCCTGATTATTGGCTGAAAAAAAAGATGAGTTAATATTGATATGATTAATAATTGATTCCTCAATTTCATACTGAATAATATTATCCTAGTTTTCAGCTTCATGATCATCATGAAGAGACATCATCACTCACTGAATCTGATAATGATGTCGAGTTAATATCTTTATATTTAGCCACCAAATTCAATGCTAAATATTGACTCAATTTCAAATCATTTTCATAGCAACATCAGGATTACATTTTCATTATAAGATTAGATTATCACCATGAACTCCTTCAGGATAGATT